GGGGAGGTGATTTGTTTGCGTGAAGATGTCTGGATCATGCTCATTTTGTTCATTCCAGTGGCTTTTGCTACCTTCTTGTTTTGGTATCTACCTGTCATAATGCACTTTTATTATATGCCTATTTCCTATTTAGATTATTAACATGTGTATGCATCGCATGGTCTGTGATTGAAAACGCGATGACTTGTTATAGCCAAGCATTTTAGCTAGTCATTTGAAACACTAGAAAATTTGAGGTATTGTAGGTCACTAATATTTCAGGTTTGACGCACACCTGACATTTTAGATCTAATCATTTGTAATACATGTAATTTGGATGACACTTTGTAATCAATTTATATATTCCATAAATTTGCCATTATTTGTACACTGTAGTGTACAAAGTAATAATCTTTTATTTTGTTGATGCAGAATTTTCAGTCTTGATTCATTTGAATTAAAAATGTGCCATAAGTTAGATTTTACTCTATTTTTACTGACCCCTTTCCTTTCTTTCTTGTTAGCCATGCTTTTATTGTAAAGACATCAAAACACGAGAAGGAAGTCTTCAGAATCATTGGCTGAGCGCAATCAAATGGAAACAAGAATAAAGATTAAATTAGAGCCCGAAGCCAGTGCTTGGACGAAGGCCAGTGCGATAATTCTCCCTTGAAAAATGCCTTTTCTTCAATTGTGGAGTGCACCAGAAAAATTCATACTAGGCGCCAATCGCATTGCAATTGCTACGTTTTGTTGGTTGGATATGTTTACGAACAGAAATACCCACAGAAGAACAATATCTCTTAACTGCCACCCTGTAAAATAATAAATTACAAAACGTAAGAATCGCGTATTAGTTAAACTTTCTGGAACCTTAAACAGCCGTTCCGTTCCCTTCCAGATAAATGTTTTATGTCGGTGAGTTGGTATTGGTGTAGTGAGCGTAAGAAGAAAACAAGTAAAAAGAAGGATGTAAACAAACCAAACAAGTTCAAGTTGTGATGTGCGTTCAGGAGAATTTAAACTTAAGTTATTGTTGATTAGTATCATTCTAGTTGTGCAGTTTTGTGATTTTTCCCTTTAGAATACATAGTTACTCCAAACTTCATTAAAGAAAATCAAGTATGAAAATCATTCGGCCTTGGTGTTGTGCTTGTTCAACATAGCTATAGCTGCTGGAAGTTATGTGCATTGTTGACCTTTAGAAAAAGATAAAGAGCCAAATTTTCCTTTTGATACTATTTGTTCTTGAAAAATGGACCAGCATCATGGAGAAGAAAAAAATAGAGATGAAAATCTGGCATACTTAGATGGCACAAATCTCCTTGTAGACCCGGGTGAAGATGTTGCAGATTTATTTCAGAACTTTAACAAACGTTTCTTTTGGGGGAAGTTAAAATATGTTGAAGTCAGTTGGAGTCCAAGAATGACGCTGTACGTTAAATTATCCAAAATCTTGCTATTAGTGTAGTAGTCACTACACTGTCACATAATTTTCTTTACTCGTCTTTCCTTTTTATAGGTGTGCCGGACTGTGTGTCTATAAACGACGCCCAGGGTTGTGCTCAATACGACTAAGTCGTCCCCTTCTTTCACTCCGTGCGAAAGTGGATTTAGTGGAGACTCTCCTTGTATGTCAACCAACACAATATTCTTGATGGTAGCCTTATTAAATTTGAGGGTGTTAATGGATTTCCGTTTTTGTCTTCCTGTAGCACGAAATGATTCATGCTTATTTATTTGTCACTGAAAACAACCGTGACAGGGATGGGCATGGTCCAGAGTTTTTGAAGCATATGGATCGCATCAACAAAGAAGTTGGTTTAAACATATCAGTAAGTGGAAAGGTAAATCTTGAATGGGAATTCTAAATTTTTGAAGACTAAAATTTTGTGTACATTTTATCTCTAGGTATATCATACTTTTAGTGATGAAGTACGACTTTATCAGAAACATGTATGGCTTTGTAATGGTCCCTGTCAAACCCGCCCTCCCTATTTTGGAAAAGTTCATCGAGCCATGAATAGAGCACCTGGATCATATGATTTTTGGTGGTCAGAGCATTTAGAAAGTTGTGGGGGTACATATTCAAAAATTTCTGAGCCTGAGGGATATGAACCTCCAAAAAAGAAGAAAGTTCTCAGCAAAAAAGGTAAATAATCTATACTATACTGCAATGCACTTAAATCTTTAAAGTGATTGGGTGAATCATTTTTTTAAAATTATTATTTGCAGTAATACCTACAAAAAATTGCTTAGATATAAGAACATTTTTTGGACCCGTGAACAAAAAAAGTATTGATAACACTAATACAAGTCCAAAAAAAATGTCTTTTCCTGGTGTGCACAATACGGATCAAGGAGAAACAACTCTTATCAGTATTGATAAAAAATCTGCCACATCTGAAGTTATCTCAGGAACAGATACTCACCAAATAAGTGATATCAAAAATTCAAAAGATATTACCAACATCAGCTCAGAAGAGAGTGACAGTGATAATGACAATACTACTTCTGATACCAGCAGCAATGATGATGGTATTTTTGGAAATTTTGCTTCCATATTTGATATGCCTCTTAGATTCTTCAAGAGGAAAGCTGACGAATCGTCTGATCCACATTCTATCAAAATCAGAAAACCTGACTTTAATGCTGTGTCTAGTTCTAAAGGAAAAACGCTGAAGAATCTAATTTCAGTACCCGACCAACCAACCCTTGATGCATTTTATCAAAAAAAGAAGTTTTCTTCAAAAGGCATCTTTTCTAAAACACCAAGTTCTAATACAGGAAATAAGAAAAACTTAAATCAACCATTATTGAAATCATTTTTCAAGAAGAAATCAACGTTATAAAGAATTCAGCATTTGATTTCAAAATCTTAATAGTACTGTTTTTGGAATATTGTTGGGAAACGTGTAGAGGGCCACCTGTCTGATGTCTGAGTAGTGCTTCCTTTAATGCTGCTTGTTTCATATTTTACTTTAGAAGGCTAAGTTGTATGAACTTAGATTTAAAACTATTTATGTATATATTAAAAGTATACTCCACATCATCAGAATTTTCCTTTATTTTCTAAAACCTTAGCCGGCAGTGTACTTAATTTTGTGGTTGGATCCAACATCCAACCTTAAAAAAATCGGGCAAACATTTTTAAACACAATATCTCATAAACATTCGCTTAAAGCTAGGAACATAAACAAACAAATATCTTTACTCAATGACAACCAAATGGTTCGGGAGCCACGTAGCCGAGACCCCTGCTTTAAATTAGTGATCAATGAAAACTGTCATTCCGGAATTAACTTGAAAGAACGGCCACATAATGTGTAATGAAAGAGGGACCCGAAATGAAGATAAGGTTATGTTGTTGTAAACAAAAACAAACCGAATTCATAGCCTTGTTGAGTACAGCCATTTTAACTGCTTGCATTTGTTCCCACTGGTTCCTAGGTTCTAGGTTATTTGTTTACCTTTACCTACTCATTCATGAAGATTTAACAATGACATTGAAGGCTTTCCTGTCAAATAACATTTATTGCTGTTTTTATAAACAAGTAGAGTTCAAATATGGTTAAAAAAGAGGCAAGGTTAGTATGGCTATATTCTACATTTCCTATTATTTCAAATTTGTCTTCAATACAAAGACGTTACCTTTTTAAAATGATTTGCCTTTAAACACTTAAGCCCTTTTTTACTTTGTTGGCTTGTTATGTTAAACACTAGTAGTTTTTTAATTTTTTTAAATTTCTTTCTTCTTGTTGGTTGTGGCACTTATCTACAGATAACACCCTTCGAGAATGAATTGAAAGAAGATTATCACCCTTTCACCTACATTGAGTTTAAGTTGTATTAATAATGTATTGTTCGGAACATTTGCAGTAAAGGAAGAGAGTGGGAGAAAGGGCGAAGAGATGTGTTAAACCAAACTTTCAACGAACTGCATCAGGCGCTACCGAGTTATGTTGTAGGGCAGACCCTTAGTAAGAAGACCATTCTAATTCAAGCACTTGCATGCATTCGTGAGCTTCAACAAACGAGGAAAGGAGATGCAGCAGGTCAGTTTTACCATATCTGCGTTAGGTATTTAACTTTCAACTGTAAACAACTATATTTAAAGTTTGATTTGATTTGATTTCTTTAGATGACCAGGTGTTCAAATCAGACCACTACAAAAAATGGGTCCAAAACATTCTTACTAAGTTCAACCACCTTCTATCTTTCCTGAACACAATTAACATTAAGGTGCCAGAAGACTGTTTATCTATTGATGCACCACCACCAGGCATAGGCCCTGATATACTACAGCTGTTGTCTAAACATGGTGAGTGTTTACAAATTATTGATAAAGCTTACACCGATTTTTCCAATGTTTCTATAAATTATTTTCTGAAATTTTTCTCGGTTAGAAAAAGCAAGACTGTCCATTGGAATTTCTAGTCAAGAGAATAAATCTCATGGGGCACAGAATGCTGATGAAGTCAAGAAAAGTGATTTGTCAAATGATCTTTACTCTGCATCTTCATCAAGCCATTGCACTGGAAGCAGCCCAAAGAAAAAAGTCTACAGCAGCAGTCAATGTGGTAAAGCGTCCCAGAGTGAGAACTTAATTAATGAGTCAAGTGAAAGTTTGATAGCAAATCCATCTGTAGTTCAGAGTCGTCCTTTGGTTGTGCAATCATCTTCTATTCAAATGCCTTCTCAGCTTTTATTTACATCTAACAGTTCCAACTCACCTCTACCATTACTTGTTTCTGTTACTGGAGTTAAGACTGTCAATCCTTTCATACTAGTTCAAAGTAATATTATGGCACCAAACCCATCAGCACCTCAAAAACTTATGAGGTCAGGAAGTAGTCGCCCTATTCAACCATGTCCAACAAGTAAAATATCAAGAAAACCACCCAAAATACCCATTCCTTCATTGAAGCAAAAATTATTACTCAGTGGCTTTTCTCATCCTCATAGTACTCAGCTAAAGTGTTTAAAAAAGAACTTAAGGAGAAATTCATCAAAGTCATCTCCTGAAATTAAATCTGAAAAAGCCATCAGGAAGAACAAAGTTCAAAAAGTAAAGCGACCCTCAAACTCTACCAATGCTACTAGTATGTTGGTAGTTAGCAAATCGAAGAAAAATTCTACATGTGATATGCATGTTTCCAACAAAACTGAGCAAACAGTAGATGGTAAACCTGTTGGTACTGTCTCCGATGTAAACAAGGAGAATATTGTGCAATGTGACCCCTCTAGCAATGCAAATGTTGATGAAAGTACTGGAAGTGCATTTGCTCTTAAAGACACACCTCTACCTGCAGAAAATGGTGGAAGTGTGGCAGGTGATATGAGAGTACATTCTGTGCCTGTATGTATTATTGAGTCTCCATCGGAAAATCAAGAAACCAGTGCAATATCCACTGGGAAGGAAGGTAATAACATTTTAAAGAAAATGACATATGAATCAGAAGATATTAATTGCAGTAAGTCCAAAAAATGTGAAAATAAGGCAAGCCAAGTAAAGTCATCTCTTGAGCATGGTGAATCTCATGCATCAAAACCGACAAAATCAAATTACAGCATATCAGCACTTTGTGCAAGGCAGCAACTTTTGCAAAATACTGAAAATACTGTGTTAACAGAAGAACCACAAGAAACATCTAATAGTAAAAGTTCTGAGACACAGAAGGCAAAACTCCCAAGTAATCCAAATATAGAAAGTAATAATGTACCAATGGTTACATCAGCAAGAAACTTAACTGATAATTGTTCTATTGTAAAAGACAAAGCTACAGAACTTGCCTCTAATGATGTATGCAATGAATGGTCAGACAAATCAAAGTTAAAACCTGACCGTCCTTCTACATCATTTAATATCTTTTCCAGCTTGCCATTGCACAACAGTAAAAATACTTTTATTCCTATAAATGATATAGAGAGCTTCAAGCCAGTCCCCGAATCATTTGACTCAACTGACAATTCTTTTGGTTTGCCTTTACAGTCTAATGATATTTCTAATGATTTATTTGCCTCTTTACAAGTACCATCTGGTGGCCAACATCCTGAATCTATCTCCCCAACTGCTGCTTTTCTGCTAGCTTTTCCACTTGTATCAACATCCAAAGCAACTGAACTGGATGATACAGTGTGTGAAAATACAGACAGCCAGCCTGGAATGAAAACTTTGCTTCAAATTGGCAATTTAGACTGTGATACTCCAGTAACAAAATGTGTCAGCGTTTTTTCTTCAATTGAGAATAGTAATGTTGTTTACAGTTCATCAAATGTGTTCAATCAAGATTCCCTTACAGTTTCTGCTATTAAGAATAGAAATTCTACTGCTGATGTCCTCAACTTCCCTGCTAGAGAAGCAACACAGAAAAGCAACAATGAAAACATGATTCCTCTGAAAGAAAGCCCAAATTTTGGGCAAAAGTGCCCTGAATCTTCCCTGTCTATTGAAGAGAGCGTTCCTTTCTCATCAAAGGAACATTATCAAGCGGGTTGCTCCAGTAACAACAAACGAATTTGTGCATCAAGGACCGAATCTAGCACCATCTTAACAGTTTCTAATATCAATGGACAACTTAATGGAACAAGGGTGTCCACTAGAAATGGGACTCTCCTGCAAGAAAGTGGTCCGAGCAAAAGTCCTCAAAAATTAATCCACCCTCAAGAGAATGGAGGCTCAATCACATTCTTGGGCTGCGAAAAGCAAAGTGATTGGCTTGAAATGCCTCAGGCACCCCTTACAATTTTTCCAGATTATCCTCCAACAAGTACTTCTAGATCTGATTGTGCTGTGAATTATGTACTTCCACCTGTTTTAATGAGCTCAAGTGCAGGTGGAGAAGAACTACTTGCTCTTTCTAGAAGCCAAGGATCATCATCAATACCTTCCAGTATTTTGTCCTGGTCAACAATGTCTTCTGGGAACATTCAATCATCAACATCTACTTCAAAAGTAGTTAATTTTCAAGAAATGTTCCCTGTTACTAAGGCTTTAAACAAAACAATTGAATTGCAACATTTAGTTCACAACCAAAATGTTTCTTCGAGTTCAAGCCAAACTCAGCTGATAACTACATCTGCCACAACTTTAAGCCATAAACTAAATTCTGTTTTATCTAATTATAGTGAAGTTCTTTCAAGTTCATCTAAAATTAGCAATGCACTGACTGGAAAGCAGATTACACACACCCAGAATTTTGCACCACCTGAAAACATCACAGAAGCAAGAAAACCCTTCCTGTCTGTGACTGCCACAAAAGATTTAATTTGCAATTCATCAGAAGTTCCTAAAATGTCTTCAAATTTTTGTGGATCAACCACACATTTGCAGACAAGAACAGAAGCTACACAATCAAGCTCTACAAAAATGATGTACCTTTCCTCAGAAAATAAGTTATCTAAAGCAAATAATGTTTATTTTGAGGAAAAGGTAGCATCTCAAAATGTGAAGATAGGAATGAGTGCTAGTCTAAATAGCTCATCCAAAGATTCCAGTAGTCTGTTGACCTATAATCAAAACAATGTTGTTGTAGCAGTCCCGGAAGTGAAGCAGATTCATTCTAATTATAGCCACATACCAACTTTAAATGTTAAAGGAGCAGCAGGACAAAACAACATAGTTGGAAACAACTATAATCATCAAAACAATACTCTACCTAAGCAAAGTCCTGGTTCCGGAAGTCACTATTCTACAGGGATTTCTAGTGTTGCAGATCCAAAAAAAGATGTGTCTACCTTCACTCATAATAGTGGAGCCTCTGTTGAAGTTTTAAAGCAAACATCAAGCCTTCATTATAATCAAGAAAATACATCTATGCTACAATTTGGAAGTAATTCAACCAATTTACCTTCAAGTCACCAGGGTTCATATAACAGTAAGCCAAACAATCAGAACGGACAGGAAGACAAATCTCAACCCGGTCAGCAGAGACAACTATGTGTACGTGCAAATAATAAGGAATCTGTTACAAATTTACATCGACCTCCAGTGAACTGGATGACAGCTCCTGATATAAGATCACACCAGCACCATAGTGGACCATCATTTGGTAACAGCTCAAATATGAACAGCACTCAAGGTCTACTTTACTTGCCTGAGCACATCAAAGAATCTGAAAACATTGGACCAGTTTTTGATCAAACGGCGAATTTCCATTGCTTGGATATGGCTCACTCTTCACAACCTCTGTATAAGGGAAATGAACATCATCTCTTTGGAAATGATAGCATAGAAAATTTCCATGACAATTCAGCATGGTCGCCTAGTAAAAGTGGAGGATCTTCTATGCTTGGAAACATGATGATTCCATCAACCTTACCAACACTTGTTGGTGACCTAGCTTTAGGAGACAACAGTATTAGTCGACCCTTCTTACCAACATTTAACAATGACTCACAAGGATGCCCCAAGAAGCCTGCAAGAAGAATGATAAATGCACCTAGACGTTCTGATAAATGTATTGATGAAGCAAGTGTGACAACTGCAACTATTGGAGGACAGGAATGTGCTGGGTCATTCTTATCAGTTAGTCAGCTTGTTGACACCAGTAATGTTGCAAAAAGTCGAACCACCACCATACCAAAAGAAAGCCATTTGTCATACACAGGTCCCTTCAGTGACCATGATACAGTTTCTTGTCAAACATCAAAACAAAGTACATCAAAATCGGTCTCAAGTAACTACTCTACTGAGGCCCTTTTATCATCAACAATTCCTCTACAAACAAGTCAGACCAACAATCGAAAACGCCGATCTCATGGAACCCATTATTCCAACAATTATGCTGGAACCAGTATGCCATATCAAAATACTAGTTCTGTTTCTTTACAGGCTCAGGGGCCACAGAATCAATATCTATCAGATTTACCACGTTCAAATGACTACCAAGGAACATTCATTTCTAGTGATACAGTGCCTCCTTTCATTCTTGGCAACCCAACCAGCAGATCCCATCGAAATCATTCCTATTCACTGCAAAATGTTACTGACAGGACATCTGTTGAAGATAATTCAAATCCACTCAAATCACATCATCCAGGGGGAATGCTGGATAACAGTACAGGACGTCCCAGAACAAATAACCATAATTCTACTAGTAATGGCACTTCCACTGTAGCTGTTTCGTCATCATCCAATATAATGGATTTTGGTTACATGAATATGACATCAACAGTGCTTCAGGATGATATTAACTTTACTAACCATCCTCCTCCTCCTCCCTCTTTCTTACCCCACCATTCGTACTCAATGCCTGCTGCACAGGATTCACTTTACTCTACACCCCGCCTTTCCATGCATCCAACTCATCATCCTCAAAATAGCAACATTCAATCACCTAGTGCAACAACATTGACCAACTTTCATCTTAGTACAATTTTCCCTGAAATTAATGATAAAGTTATATGTTAATATATACCTAGTATTTATTTTAGAATTAAATTTGTGCAAATATAGTTAAGTAAACTGTGATTCATTTGAGTGTTGTTTTTTAGTACCACCTATAAAAAATTATATATTTCAGGAACTCTATTTTTTCAGATATATTGAGCCTTTCCTTAAGGTTGTATACATTTATAATATGTAATTTCAAGTATCGCTCTTACTCTTGTTTACGTAACCTGGTAGAAAATATTGTGTAAGCAAAATGTAAAAAGTATGTGAAAATTCTGTGTACTTTGAGGAAATAGGTATTAACTATTTCTAGAGCCTTTTCTTGAGCTATCAAAACAACTGTGCTAAGTTTCTATGAATTTTATTTTTAAAAATGTTTTAATAAATTGTTGACTCTTATACTGTCCCAGTTGTCTCTCCTATTTCCTAAACCTCCCTCACTGTTGTTTATGTTCCTTGCAAAATAGAAAAAGTGTTTTTTTTTCTTTTTTCAAACAACTGGGCGCTGAATTTATTCTTACAAGAAGTATGATCCGTGTCTCATACAAGACGATACACCCTACAACTAGCTACAACCTTAAGCCACACACAGCTTGCAGCAAATTTCAATTTTAAAATCGGAACATTTTCCCGCCAACTGTGGAAGGACGAGGGAATGTTCATGGTTCTTGTCATGACTGCCCCAACACGTCGAGCACACCTCTTTATATGTAGAGGAATGTAGCTTGGAATTCTACATTAAATCACTTGGGATTCCGAGCATCTTGTCAAAGCCTATCAAATTGATTGGAATTACTTAAAATGTATGTGGTCACTAAGAACGAAAGCATTCCCCCTCTCTTGCCCCCCCCCCCCCAAATATCCAGACGTCTGCGTCTTTGGTCTGGTGGGTGTGGGTAAAGTGGGTATAAGCACAAGTATGCTTTATGCTAGATATAGGTCATGAACCCACAACTGAGCAGGTACTGAATTTGAACAAGTCAGGTCCTTTTCGACGGCATCGTAGACAACAATATTCGTCATCATCGGATGATATCAGATGATTTTAGATGAATCGGAATCAAAGAGAGAGTTTTAGGAAAGGTTTTGTTGTCTTGCGATAAACTGTTTAAATGCAGAGGTGTCCACCTAATAGATCGAAAGGGGATGCCGCCGCAGTTAAGTTGGGCCTCGGTCCGGAGGAGCGACCGTTAAAGCTCGGACCAAGCTTCACAAATCCTAGAGGAACTGCGTTTCACACTTTGAAATGTAAGTATGTCTGGAAGCAGATAACTGAGCACAGTTTGAGGTTATGAGCAGTAGGTTTAAGTAGGACTCACACCACCCGTTTCACTCAGTTCGTTTGATACTGAAAGAACCTAACTGTAATTTCCAGTAAGAGAGCAACAGTTTTCCAGTATTCTTCGAGAGCTGCCAGTTGTTTCATGAGAGATTTATCTCACCATATTGGTTATGTAATGCCACAATTTCGGTCGACATTCAAACAGCTGACATGCCGAAGTCAACGTATTTGGCGAACACATATGCCCTGTATTTCACTATTATTTTCCAATTACTACCCCCTAATTTTGCACTTTTCTTTTACCTTCTATATTTCAAATGCCTCGTAATCTCTTTCAAAACTGTGTACAAGACACTATTTTTTTTTCTTGTTCTGTAATACCCGTATTATTTTGCTGCCTCGTTTTTTTCTTTTTTAAATGCGCCATATAATCAATTTTTTAAGCTCAAAATTTTAACCTGACATTATGCTTCATCTATTTGCTCCAGATGACTTCAAGCCAGCCAGTGTGGACGTTAGCAAGATGGCATCTGTTGCTGTGGAGATGAATCAGCAGGTAACAGTTACAGTTCCCCACCTTGATGGCGCAGGGACAGAACACACAGTATTCAAAGGTTCACAACGACCTTACCAGAAGGAATGTGTCCTGATTATTGATAGACGTACGGGTGAAGTAGTGCTTGAGAAGCTCTCTAGCAATATACAAGTTAAGAAAACTAGGTAAGTCAGGAAATATATCTCCAACTTTTAAAATCCATACTACATTTTATGGTCTAATTGGTCGTTCTATGGTGCTGCAGGAAAGAAACTAATAAAGCAACTGCAGGGGCACCAGGCCGGCCTTGCCAGCCTGGTCTACCATCCTTGCTTGACAGCTCACCTCCTGAACAGTTAGCACCCTCTAAGAAACCCTTGAGTGGAGGGGCAAGTAAAGCTAACTCTTCAGGAGCAAATAGCCGTAACAGTACCTCTTCAAATAACCATAGGCTCAAGCCTCAGCAGATGGCATCTTCTCTATCTGGTTGTGTACCAAGGCATTCACCTTTGCGTGCTTCACCTTCTTACCCATCTCCCGGTCATCATAGAAGTCCTACAGGCCCCTCTGGTCCATCAGCTCAAGCTAGCCACAATAGATGGTAAGTCCTGAACCTGTTATGTGGACTTTGTAATGGGATTAAAAAAAAACAAAGGACTCTACCATTTCTTTTTGTGCAGGTCACCCCCTGATCAATCTACCAGTTTACCAATGCTTGGAATGGATGAAGGACCTACTCCAATGGATACTTCAGTGCCAAAGGAATCACCTACATACGACCAGGTAATGATGATTGTTGCTAATAACAATGCATTATGATAACATATTGAACTGAATAATCTGACACATTTGTGAATGCAGGAATCTGTACGACCTGTAGGTTCCCTATCAGATTCCTCCAGTGATTCCTCCTCTGGCAGTGGATCATCTGATAGTGAGACCGATGAACCACAACCACAACCTCAACTACAACCACAACCAAGCAACCAGCTCTCCTTACCACTCAATGGCAGGTGTCATCTAAATTTTATCTGTCCTTTCATTTTAGTAACAGCAGTGTTTATAACATGTTTTTAATTCTTAGGTCATGGAAACACTCATGCTCCTTCACCAGCATTGTCAGTGCCTGACCATCTGCTCAATGATGACTTACAATTATCTGAATCGTCGGGATCAGACAGTGATTGAAAGAAACATAAATTTTATTACTTTGTACCTACGTTGTGTACTTGATACTGTATAAATAATAAATAAGAAGTGAATGAATTTCTGATTGAAGGTAGGTGGCTCAATACAAACTCTATCCAGAAGCAAAACAAGCTAATTTATACCAAACATATAGTTTCATTTTCAAAATTTTAAAATTAAATGGACTAAGATCAATTGTTGGCACTCATTGATTACTACTTATAGAAATTGAAACATGACTTCAATTTGTCAACTTTACACATCACATTGCAATTGTATTTTCTGCTTCTACCTGCTTTAACAAAGTTGGAAAGTACTTGTGTGCTATGCAGGCAAAACTGATGATACAGCAGAAGACTGAAATTCCAGAAGTAGCCTGGCAAGGGCACTGCGAGAACCTAAATTGTTTGCTCGGGCTTTAATGCACGCTTCAAGCATGTGCAAACTAATTTCTGAGGCACTTCCACTGCTGGTACAGTCTAATGGAACATGTCTCAGACGGAGACCTGGCTCAACAGCTCGCAGAATATGCAAATCACTTGCTCTCAAGAACAGACTGTACAGGGTATTTTCTGCAAGGCTTTTGAAAAGCTCCAAAGTTTCTGTATTGGTTGTTTTTGAAGAAGCAATGGACACCAGCACATTTAAGTCCTTGTCTGATTGCATCATGGGAAGATAGTTCTCTATTGATTTACGAGCTGCAACATCACACCAATAAGTACAAAAATAACATGTGAAAAAAATATAATGTCAATCTGATCAGAAGAATATTACCTCGCAAGTAGTCACTGGCATAAAATGAAATGAATGCTGTACTTTGAGTATCATAATGTCCATAACTTTTGTTAATATCTAGTTCGGAGGGTCGAGGCAAATCAGAGTTATAGACTATGTCTGGATGAAACTCTGAGAATGGAATGGGACTAAATGCCTGAATGTGCTGAATGGTATTCATTCTCACCTAAAATGAGGTAAAGATTGCAATATCAGAAAAATTTTCGATTTCAGTATACTATTGACCTTTTAAAATACTCACCCTGTTTATCAAGTCCTGCCTTAGCTCTGCATTAGGCCTCACAAAGAAGACCAAAGAATCTTGTGAAAGCTTTCTAATGGCAAGGTCAGCAGCAGCGAAGTCTAAGAGTCCTCTAGTTACATGAACTGCTTGCTGTGAATCTGGTAGCTTCACCGATACCCATGCTATTTTGCCACCATCCCTTTTGTGACGATCACTCAGTTTAACAGCCGTTTGCTTAAGTTCTAGAAAAGTATCATCTTTATTTCCTTTTCCTGGATGACGTGGATCATACATGAGGACCTAGAAAGAGAAAAAAAAAAGTTAAAATAAAGGAAAAAAAAGCATTTGCACTCCCAAGTATTTCATACTTTATGTGCAAGCGTGCAAGACCTACCAACATCAGAAAGGTCTTGTCTTTTTTTTCCATGCAAATGTTGTTGTATTGTTGTAAGAAATCGGCTACCATAGGTTTTGTTTCCATAGTCACTGGTAGTACCAGGCTTACTCGAGTATTTTCTGTCACATAAGGGACTGGAACAACTTCAACTTTTCCAAGTGGTTTGCTAACCTCAAGTCTATAAAAAGTCAAAGTTTAAAAAAAAAAAAAAAAAAATCAGTTAAATTTAGGTGTGCTGTTGAAGAAACATAATGCGCGCGCTTACCTCTTATGAACTTCATGTCCATTAGTAGTGTCCCTAAAAGCCAAATCTACTTTATAATCAAGGCCACGTGATGGATCAAAGCGACGATAGCCATTAATCAAACGACGGTACTGAAGTAATCCTTCATATTTTGTATGCATCCAAGCGACTGTGGCATTCAGTACATACTGCAAATTAACAGTTATAATTAGCTGTTGCTTCTGGTAAACAATTGAAAGCATTCCAAAACTATCAAAAAAGGAGATGAAAAACCTCAACATCCTGTTTGTCAGCACCAACTAACTCTTTCAGGTTGCTAAAGTCTGATTCAGGATAGATGTGAGATAGTGTAAAATAATCCCAACGCAGCACATCAAAACGAGAAGCTGGCCGATTGCCAGGAGTTGCACCAACTGGCCATGCAACACCACTTCTACCACCAGGTGCTATGTATGACATGTTCAATACAGCTGATCTGCGAGCTGCAATTTCAAGCTGCGTTGCTGTCAATGCCACCTGCAATATATACTGCATTATGATTTCATTCGAATGCCTCTTAGAAAATATTCTTGGTAAACTTTTAACTTTTACCTTGCTGAAATAAGCATGGAAGGAATACACAGCAGCAGGTTCCGGAACAGGATACATTGTAATGATTTTATCAACAGTTATCTTTTTTGCAAGAGATTGGAGTTCAGAGTTCAAATTAAATGGCTTTTTTGTTCGATGGGTGAGCAAATTTAAACCCTAGAAATTAAAATTTGCTACACTTTGTTGTCATAATTGCAGCAGGTTTCTAAAGGAGCTAAGGCTTACCTGCACACTACTTTTGCATGGAATGTCAGTTGCATGTAGGATACAACGTCCAACATTATCAGTAGCAGATTCAGAAAATGCATTCTTAACACACCAATCCAAACTAGCATGCACTTTTCTTAACACAGAATTGCTGAGCAAAACTCCTGCATCTATTTAAAGAAAAGAAAAAGCCAAATGACGGAAGCAAATAATGTTTTTCTTCTTGAAGAGTAGTATGAAGATTGAAGAGTGCCACTAAAGACCAAGAAAAAAAAAGACTTCATACTTCACAAGACTATATTCTTGCATGCATATATGAAGATGAATAAATAAGCAAGATTACATCCCATCCAAGCAACATCAAAATTCAATCACAAAACATATAATAAATTGGGAGGTGAAAACGTGAAATTTACTAATCAACCCTTAACACCAGCATTAAGCTATGATCACTATGTCAAAGTTAAAAAAGCAAACAAGGAGTAAGTTACCAATCTCTAAATATTCTAGACGAGATAGTCGAAGGAAATCTTACCTAGAGTGCAAAAAGCAGTGTGTTCATCCTCTTTTTCACTGCCCGCATGGACTTCTTGACTAACGCTGATGCCTTGGACAACTTCATACAAGGTCCGAGCCTTTACATAAGTAGAATCCTTTACTATGAAAAAGAAATCATATTCGTCCAAAAAGTTATCAGCAACATATTTTAGGACATGGAAAGGCTTTAACAATTTACGAGTATCAGTGAACCCTACGATGCCTGACATGCTTAGATTAAGCTTCTGAGGCCCTGGCGCATCAATAAAATACATGATTTTGTCAACCAAATGGGCAACAGTCTTGTTGAGAGCAACTCCTCTGGAATTTATTGTTTCTTGAGATGAAAGAACAGCCACAAATAGTTTCTCTCTAATGCCCAATTCTGTTGAGTAGTACCTAGGCCGAACCAATGCCTGAGGAGTTTTCTTTGCCTTTTGAGGTTTCCCTGCCAGGTTAATTCTCGGTTCATATTCATCAACATAGTCATCTGCAAGTTCCATAGCTGAGTTTGCAGCAGGCAAACTACTACAGGTGTTCTCCATTGATGATATTAAGAGAGAAAGGGTTACACCGACGAACAAGCCGGCCAATAAATAGGAATTCTGCCGACACAAGGACATAGTGAAACGAATCATTGTCTATAACTTGATTGCAGATAAAGAGGAATGTGCCATAGGAGGTTCTCCCTCCGCCTCTTTAATCAGGCAACGCAAACAGGTGACTTAGAACGCTCTTCAAACAAAGTTAATTCAAACACCAGGAAACCAAGAAAACAAACAAAAACACAACCGGTAGCGACGGTGGTATGAGAAATTGTGAATGGTTTAACTTCAAAACGATGAAAACTGTACAAGTCACATATTTAAAGGCAAGATTGTGGGTCTGTGCACAAATTTTTTCTGCTAAGAAAGATTCGTTTTGTGGTTTTGCTTGGTTGTAGTAGAGACTTCGAAATGGTGTTTGCTTGTCAGAAAGACAGTTTCCTAAAAGAGGTCAGTCAATCATTATTTTGTGATCAGATTAAATGCTCCAGATGTAGATGTATTACCCAGGTTAATAATAATTGTGTTTGTTTTAGCTTGACACCTCAGTTGTTTCCTGCAAAGAGGCCAAAGTATCAATTAACAATAATGGCAAGAAAGAAGTCATCGATGGCTTTGAAATAGTGTTGGAAGACACAATTATTTTTCCAGAGGGTGGTGGCCAGGTAATCTTCAAACTCCAAACTAATCGATTGGTTAGTAGAAACATTCCTTCAAATTAGTTTTTGTAATAATTAACAGCCGTGGGATCTTGGAACAATTGCTGAAAAAGAAATAATTCAAGCTGTACGTAGAGGCGCAGAAGCTGTACATGTTCTTCGAGAGCCTCTTGATGTGGGTCGAAAGGTGACAGTTAAACTTGATTGGAACCGAAGACTGGATCATATGCAACAACACTCAGGTTTGTTATTTGCCTTATTCAGATCCAGCCAGGATCCAGGTGCTTTTGCAGGAAGATCTAATACTAATATACAAATCACTGATACAAAATAATTTGTGGTCGGCAGGGCAGCACCTTATTACTGCAGTGGCTTGTGCTGAGTATGGATTTGCAACTTCATCATGGTCACTTGGTGAAGAAATATCATACATTGAATTAGGTGAATACTGATTAGCAAAATAACTGAATAATAGTTGTTCCCAGTCTTGCACCTAGTGTTAAACTTATCAACTCATACTTAATTTATTTAATGATTTCAGACACACCATCCATATCTGCTGATCAGGTTGTTCATGTTGAAACCCTGGTAAACCAGTATATAAGAGAATGTAGACCTGTCACTGTTCAGGTTTATGAGGCATCAGACCCTGTGCTAAAGGAGGTAAAATGCTCAACATTTTAAGTAATTGAATCATACAGTCCTTATTAACTTCTATATTTATTTACAAAGGTAAGAACCAGAGGTCTACCAGAGGATCACGTGGGACTTGTGAGGGTAGTTTCAATTGAAAAGCTCGAAAACAACATGTGTTGTGGAACTCACGTCTCAAATTTGAGTCAATTGCAGGTATAGACACTACTCATTAAATTTGTTTGCTAGCTTCATACTTTTGAAGTTCAAAAGTTGGAAGGACCTTGTATTTTCTTAACATTTTATCTAGATGATCAAGCTGACTGGAGTTGAAAAGGGCAAGAAAAATAAAACAAAGCTAAGTTTCTTGTCAGGAAACAGAGTATTGAAGAAAATGGAAGAATTTCTTGTTCGTGAAACAGCTCTCTCGAACTTGCTGCAGTAAGTGCAAATCCTAGTCCGCACTTCTTTAATTTATTTATGATTTTAATCCCTTGGTATTTTTTTGTCCAAGGAATAAGGGGTCAGTGCATGTGCAACTGGTTGAGAAGATTCAAGATGCTTTGAAAACCACTAGTAAGGTGAGAACTGCAACAACAATCTGATTTATAGTCGCATTACTGTTTATCTTTACTTTTCCAGAACCTGCAAGTGGTGTTACGGGAGCTGGCAATTGCTGAGGCAGAAAAATTAAAGAAAGCTAGCCCCAAGCTTAAGTTTAGTATCATCCACAGGTATGAAGATGAATTCAATTAGTAGAAACTACCCACACCCAACAAAATTAGACATCTAACTAATTATTGCAGGAAGGAAGCTGACATGGACTTTATTAATGCATTCTTACGAGAATTTAATGATGAGGTTTGTAGTAGTTTACGCAGCATCGTCTTTCAACAGCCCATAAAAAGTACTTAGTACAATAATTTGTTTACAGGAAATTTTAGTTTTGCTTATTGTCGGTGAGGAGCCAGCCATCCAAGTAGTTCTTCATGGAAAGCCAGAAATTGTTGCAGAAGTAGGACCAAGGTATGACAAACCTTTCTTAACATTTACAGTTGTTCAAAAATACATGTGGAATATTTTCACAGGTTGAGTGATATTATGGAAGGAAAGGGGTTTGGAAAAGGACACAAATATCAAGCTAAAGTAGGAAAATTAAAAATGGAAGAGGCTACACAAATATTGAATGAATATTTTAAGATCTAATGTAATTTTGTTGTTAACACAAGGAGTTCAAATTAAAGAATTCAAATCACTGTTCAAGATAATTTATTAACCATTTTATCCAGGGCTAAGATCTTGGTTGGAGGAGGTAGAGCAGTCAACATTCCATCTTGCCAGTGAACATTCCTGCAACAAATTAAAAAACCACACATTTAGAAAAGACTAAGATTTTGCTAGGAACAAAATTGTGTTAGTTCTGTGAGTGTGTTGAACTGGTTTTGAGAGAGTTATTCCATCAATCAAGAAATCCTCCCCGATGACCAGAACTGTCATTTTAGCAGAACTCGGGAACCGAGAGAAGGATAAGGAAGAGAAACCCTCTCCTTCAAAGGGCATTACTGCAAATAACTTAAAATTTCACAAATGTTTAGTCAGCATTGAGAGAGCAGTTCTATAAGTAAGAAAACCTCCCCGATGACCAACTCAAATACTATAGCAGAGCTCGATACACGAGAGAAGATTCAAGGAATTGATCCTTTTCCTTCAAAGGGCATCTCTGCATATTACAGTATGAAGAATTTAATTGTAATTCAAAATCATGTTGAGTAAGTATTGAGAGAGCAATGTCATGAAGAAATCCTCCCCGATGACCAACCCCATTAGTATAGCAGAATTCAATTAAACAGAAGATCAGAGGTACAGCAGAGCCTCTCCCTTCGTAAGGGCATCTCTGCAACTTATTGTTAAAAAGCATTAACATTATATGAAATACTGTCAAGTTAGCTTTGAGAGAGCAATTTCATGAGGAAATCCTCACCGATGACCAACCCAATTAGTATAGCAGAGTTCAAATAGAATGAAGATCAAAGGTACAAAGCCTTCCCCTTCGTAAGGGCATATCTGCACTATAATGGTGATAAGCAATGACGTAAAATAAATAATGTTAAGTTAGCTTTGAGAGAGCAATTTCATGAGGAAATCCTCACCGATGACCAACCCAATTGGTATAGCAGAGTTCATATAGAATGAAGATCAAAGGTACAAAGCCTTTCCCTTCGTAAGGGCATCTCTGCAATAGAATGGTGATAAGCAATAACGTACAATAAATAATGTTAAGTTAGCTTTGAGAGAGCAATTTCATGAGGAAATCCTCACCGATGACCAACCCAGTTAGTGTAGCAGAGTTCAAATAGAATGAAGATCAAAGGTACAAAGCCTTTCCCTTCATAAGGGCACCCCTGCAGTTTCACGAAACAAAATGTTCAAGCATATGACAAATGACATCGACAGAAAGAAGCATTTCAAAGTCGGTAGAACGACTTGCACAACTCAAGGTGCACACGACAAGGGAATTACCCCAAAAACAATTACGAAAAATAGGATTCATTAATTATTGTTACTAACACTAAGCAGTTCTTGGCGTGCCGGAGGCAGCCCCGTGAATGTAGGTTAAGGCACAAAAATAACAACGCGAGCAGAAAAACAATTATGTTAAAAGGGTGGTCCAAAGAAATAACGAGAATAGTTACCTTAGATCTATCTTAATCTCCTAGCTTCACGTTCAGATTCCAGGAGGGTTAAAATATCTCCTTCGCGGACAGGTCCCTTCACGTTTCTGATGATCTGTCGGTTCTGTTCTCCGATGAATTCTACTTTCACCTGTGTGCACTGCCCCTGGGAGCCAGTTCTACCCAGAACTTTCATCACACGGGCCAAAACGACGGGCTTGTCCATGGTGAGGAATTGATTTCTAAATCGTTCAAATGAACAAAATAATCACACGTGTGCTCCCTAGAAGTCGGGCCATGCACGAAAGACAGAAACACCGGATGTCGGTCGGCGGCTGTCGATTGTAAAGCAGGAAACAGTATTTGGCTTTGGGTTTTGCGTTTCTTATACAACCAGCAAACTGCAGCGCATCCTAAAGTAAAGTCAAAACAGTAATGTAAAGATAGAAATCGCTAAAAATGTGAGATTGCTAATTTACTTTTAAAAACGAAATTAACTATCAGATATATTATTGTTGAAATAACGCGGAAGGTAGGAGGGGGAGCGGAGCGCCCCCCCCCCCCACCTCCCTGCCCCCTTTCTTGCTCTCCCCTCTTCTGTGAGATGAAAAATAATACATTACGATGGTCAAAGTGAAGTGAAAGTGAAGTAAAGTGAAGCATTGGGAACCACATGTGGTGAACACAAGATTGTATTTCTTCAAATTTGTTCAAAATGTCTTTACCGGAGAAGGTATTGATGAGGAAGATCAAGAAAAGGGAAAAAAGGAAGCAAGAATTATCTGAACAAGAGCCGGAAAAGAAAAAAAGCAAACCAGCAACCCCAGAAAATGGTCATGTTGACACGGAAGCATGTAAGTATAGGTTAATTTTCTTGAAGTTATTACTTTCCTTTCATTGGACTTTTTAAAGTAGTTGTTTGTGATTTTTCTCCTCAACCGTATTTATTGGAGAGTATTTTTTCAATTTCATTTTTCTGCACAGTGCCTGGATCTAGCTGTGCTCTTCAAGTATCAAGTGACAATTCGTTCTCATCTTTGGAAGGACATGTCTGTGAACAAACACTGAAAGGTATTGCCGACATGGGTTTTACCAATATGACAGAAATTCAGGCTCGTTCCATCCCTGGTCTCCTAGAAGGAAGAGACCTTGTTGGTGCAGCTCGTACGGGCTCAGGGAAGACTTTGGCTTTCCTCATTCCAGCTGTAGAACTCATATTCAAACTTAAATTTATGCCCAGAAATGGTAAGTCTTTTAAAAAGAATTCTACATATTATTTAGAATTATTCCTCAATGTCCTTAATAATTTTTTGTTTGTGTCAGGAACTGGCTGCATCATCATTTCGCCTACAAGGGAGTTGTCAATGCAAACTTTTGGAGTATTGAAAGAGTTAATGAAGTATCATAATCATACATATGGTTTAATCATGGGAGGGGCAAACAGACAAACAGAAGCTCAGAAATTGTCTAAAGGTTTGTTCTTAGAGCTGTTAATTGAACCTTAAATACGTCTCTTGCTTCTTATCCTTAATTCATTTCTTATGTGCAGGTGTCAATATAATTGTTGCTACCCCGGGTCGTCTTTTGGATCACCTTCAAAATACTCCAGATTTTTTGTACAAAAATCTGCAATGTTTAGTGATAGACGAAGCAGATCGTATTTTGGATATTGGGTTTGAAGAGGAACTTAAAAAAATCGTTTCACTTTTGCCCCGTAAGTGGTTTTGTGATTAAGTCATCTTTTTAGAGTGAAGAACTTTTATTGAAATTGTATGCTCTTTGTGCTAAATAGAGAGGAGACAAACCATGATGTTCAGCGCCACATCAACTGAAAAAACTGAGGCATTGAAAAAGTTAGCATTGAAGAAGGAGCCTGTGTATGTAGGTGTAGATGATTCTAAAGAAAGTGCTACTGTGGATGGGTTAGAGCAAGGTAAGTTTTCCACGTATAATGCACAAGTCTTTTTGTGGCAAGCAAATAAATTTTGCTTAATGATTATTCTATTTCAGGCTATGTAGTTTGTCCGTCAGAAAATCGATTCCTTCTCCTCTTCACATTCCTTAAGAAAAACAGAAAAAAGAAAGTTATGGTTTTCTTTAGCTCCTGTATGTCTGTTAAATTCCACCAAGAGCTACTGAATTACATTGACCTTCCTGTCCTTGCTATTCATGTAAGTTTAGTCATAAATAAACTTAGATTTATTTTATGTGTCTCAAGAGTGGTCTAACTTTTCTGTTTTTATCTTCCAGGGAAAACAAAAGCAAGCAAAGCGAACAACGACATTTTTCCAGTTTTGCAATGCAGAGTCTGGCATATTACTTTGTACTGATGTTGCTGCACGAGGTTTGGACATCCCAGCAGTTGACTGGATTGTTCAGTTTGACCCTCCAGATGATCCCAAGGTAATGGAGATCACCTTTTAATGACTAGTTGCTAGAGTCTTTCTTTTTCTGACTGAGCAATATTATTTTTTTGATCGTTGAGTTACTTTCTTAAATATTACATATATTTTCTAATTGTTCTTAGGAATACATCCACCGAGTTGGTCGAACAGCTAGAGGAGAAGGCAGCTCTGGCCATGCTCTTCTTATTCTGAGGCCGGAGGAACTGGGTTTCCTTCGATATCTCAAGCAGGCTAAGGTCCCATTAAATGAGTTTGAGTTTTCATGGAGCAAGGTGGCAGATATTCAGTTACAAGTAAGTAATCGACCCTATTTTTCAGATAATTTTCGCAGTTTAAATATTAGTTTATGGCACACTATCATACCTTTGTATGTTTCAGCTTGAGAAATTGATGACAAAGAACTATTTTCTTCACTTATCTGCAAAAGAAGCCTACAAATCATATGTTCGGGCCTATGACTCTCATCAGCTTAAAAATATTTTTGACGTTGAAACACTAGACTTAGCCGCAGTAGCCAAATCATTTGGATTTACTGTACCACCTGCAGTTGACCTGAAAGTGAATAGCCAAAACAGTAACAGACCTAGAAAACGCCTTGGTGGGGGTGGTTATGGCTATTTTAAGGAGATGAACCAAGATTCAAAGTCAAAATCATTTTACAAGCCTGTTAACAGGCAACAAAAGGGACAAAAAAAGTGGTGACAGTTTCAAGCAGGTTACAGGGCTCTAATGGGAAGCATAATTACCTCACTGTTTGTACAAAATTTTATTGTAATGATTTATGATCTATACAAAAAATAAATAGAATATTTATTAATACTGGTACAGTCTTGTTCTCTGGACGGATAGTGTCAAGAAATCTAAAATAGATTTCCCATTATAATAAATTAATATAGTAGATATTATGTTCATAATTTGGCTAATTACATTCATATAAAAGTAGAAAAAGATACATTGTTCCAACAGTCATTGAACATTTTCCTTAATTCAAATGCATGAATCAGTCACTCTCTTAACTGCTCAGTCCTCTAAAAGTACTTGAGCTCACCACACAGCCTCTTAAAACTCCCAGGAATCCATCCACTTCAAACTATGCATTGTGCTGTTTGGGTCATTTGCAAGTGGGCCAGCCATTCCATAAGCCAATGGCGAGAACAAAACAAAACTAAACAGAAGCAAGAAAGAGGGTGAGTTAACTGTTACAAGAGAACTGGGACAAATTAAGAAAATATTTTCTACCTACCTGTAAACTGTAGATGATAAAATTGTGCCCACTGTCCAATGGTAGACAACAGACTTGAATTTTTCAGGAATATATAAAAGCACAGCATCCAATATGTAGGTCAATACAATCCCTAAAAATTTGTGAGGAAAAATTGTGATATAAGAGGAGGGTAAGAAGAATATTGTTAACAATGTTCATATTTCAGATTATGTCTTACCTGTGATCATTGAGCTAAACAGAAGGGCAGGGAAGTAGTGGTGAAAGTAAAGAACTCTCCCCATGAACCAAAAAGGGGTGTAATGTAAAAGCCATCCAACAAACAGCCAAGCACCACTTTCTTTCAAACGTTGTCGCCTAGCTGTATGATGATGGAATGTGCAAAAATTGTCATCAATATGTGGGTGCTTGAAGAGTAAGTTTAAAAAAATATGAATCTTCAAAAAGTTAATTTTACCTTCAAATATTGGGTCGGGAAGAGTTATTCCTCTTTGTTGATAGACAGCACTTAAAATGAACACAAGGACAAACGACAGAAGAAAGACAATGTTGCTCCACCAGATAATAGGGTTCCCAAGTAAGTAGATACGATATGGTTGACCAGAGAAAAATTGTCCCTGTGAGGAGGATCAGATAAAAATTATGAGACAACAGTTAAAAAAATAATTAATTGTCAACAAGCTAGAGCTTACCCTAAAATTGATAGGCCACTGCCAGGGGCGAGATGTGACTTCACCCTCTTTAGGTTTCAAGCCAGCATTACCCTGCAGCATTACTGCATGAGATTCAAAGAAGCGCTCCAGAAAACTTGGAGCATACACATCAAAGCTTACATTTGGCACTAAGATGTTGAAGAGAAGACTCAATTAGGAATAGAAACTATAAGCTTGACAAGGAAAAAGGATGGATAGATGCAACTCAACTGATACTCACATTTGGGGAAAATGTTGTCTTCAACATTCCAAGCCGCATTTTTATCTCTCAAGTTTGGGTTGCAAGACACCTCTTGTTGCTCAAAAGCCCTAATAAATACTTCATTAAAATTTCTTATGGTCAACCACATTTAAACTCAAGAAAAAAAAGGAAGGAAGACACACCATTTAGGAAGCTGTGAGCCAGTTGCTGTCAGAACACAATTTTGTAAGAAGTGAAGGAGGCGTAGGCGTGAGCTGACAGTGGTGACTATTTCATCCTTCTTCCCATCAACAATCAATACTTGCCATACATCATTAGCGTCTCCAGTTCCATTCTATGAGAGAAAGTGGTTAAGTATCCATGAAAGCAGTGACGATTTGTAAAGAAAAGAGATTAATGGTTTTGTTTAAAACAGACCTCTCCATAGCCTGTAACCTGATAGTGTTTCCGAGACAGTGGAGCAAGCTCATCATGGGAGTGAAGGTTGCGTCTAGTGCTTATGTGCTCTAAGCGAATCAAATCACCGTGTTTCACAAGTGTGATAGGGTCAGTTTCGTCAGGTTCAACATCCAGTTTCTTTACTCTCCACTTATTGTTGTCATCTTTATGAGAGTAAGTTGTAATCTGAAAAGGAAAATTAAAAAATGGAATTAGGATGCATTTTATTTTTGAGACCTCAATATGCATACAGAGTGGCCCACTGACCCTGAAACATTTTTTTAGTTACTGTACCGCATACAGGCGTTGCCTATTCACTAGAGACCATTATGCATTGTTGGTGACTGTATGCAGCATAGTATAACTCCAACATGTTTCAAGGTCTGTGAGAAAACCAATACATTGAGTAAATTGAGTACAAAAAATTGATTGATTTACCTGTTGCTGCCTTGCGCCTACACCTTGAGGATACAAATGCCAATGAGAGTGGAGGTAGCCTCCACCTGTCCTCTGATTTTTAAGAGTAATCACTGCCCCATAGGCAAGCTCTGACAAAAGACAAAGGTTTAGTATTATAACTATGTTTCCTGTTTTGAATTAGATGTAAAAAAACAGATTCCACATACATTTGAAAACTGCACTTACCTCTTGGCATACTGGCATTGTGAAGTGAGTTACCCTGAAGTTGAGACTGGAAAGCTGAACTATAAAACCCATCTCCATGGCCACTGGACACAAAAAATCAGTGATCAATTCAAATCATAGTCAAAGATCATCGGTATAAGATGAGGAACAGAATGGAAGGTAAAACCCAGCTTACCTCTTGTTAAGTAGATTTAAATGAATAAAAAAGAAAAAAGAATACAGAAGAGCCGGAACAACAATCAAGCAAAGGGCCCGTGCCAAAAAGTGCTGGATGGAATAGCTCTGATGAAAAGAAAAGAAAAAAAGGTTGCTTTGAGCGTGACTTAAAAAATTATAAGAAATGTACAGCTGATTCATATACTACTAGGATTGACTTACAATTGGTTTAGAAAGATCCCCTAATATATTCCACAATTCAGAGATTGTATGAAGCCCAACATACACAACAATGAAAAGGCCAACAAATTTTACACAAATCGCACAGGATAGCATAATTCCTGTAAAAGTTAGCCAAAACCACCAGGATTTGGAAAATGACCTGTCACTGTAGGAGTTGAACTTTGCCAATCCCATTACAGATCCCATAACAAAAAAGAGCAAAATGGGATCAAGGAGAATGTACTGGGTCAAAGTCAAAGTTCCTATGTCTGATTTGAGAGAAACAGAAAAGCATTAAAAATTATAAGCATGTGAAACTCTTGAATAAAACACAAATTAATCAACAAAAATACTACCAAAAAGGACGTAAGAAGCACTGAAGACTGCGGCAGTGAGAGAATTTGTCATCTCCCACACAGTGCAGAAGCAGAAAGGAACAATGGCAGCTCCAAGTAAAGTGCAGAACTGCAAATAGAACGAAACAGTACATGCTGAAGTAAGGGGAAAGTTGAGACAAAAATAAAAGGGTAAATATGAACTGGCACTGTAAAATTGTTTACCACTCTCATGCCAAGATAATTCACATCAGTATATTTATCTCCGGGATTTGAAAACTGGAAAGAACCATCGTATCCAGTCATGTATCCAGAGAGAGCAATGAGCATCTGAAAATTAGTAGAACACATTGTAATCATATCATGATTTCATTAGAGCAGACTAGGCTTTAATTTCTGACCTTCCCAAGAGGAGGATGGACATCAAAAAAGAAAGTCCTGTTGATGTACCAGCTAGCCATCTTTCCAAAGTGAGTTTCATCCCAGCTAAAAAATGAAAGAATATAATAAAAAATTAAGCATGATGGCTCATGATTATTAAATTAATAAACATACAATTATTCTCAATTTTCGTTAGATACTAAGAATACTAACCATACATGATCTGGCTCTTCAACTTTGTAAAATCTTGTGGCGAAAGAAAGAGCCAAAACTATGCCAAAAACTATCCACCAGGTGCTGCCATCGCTGGAAGATAACAGGGTTAGCAGTCTACAGGAATTACCCGAAAAAAGCTTCAGAATTTCAAATGCTCATCTTCAATTTCACGAACATTAAGTGTCAAAAAGTAAACAATTAAATCTGATTAAATGATAGTGAAAAAAATAACATAAATAACATTTGTCTAAGAGCCGTTTATCAAATTTTAAAAATTTGTTTCATACATCATATAATTTAAACTTGTAAATAAAACATAATTTAATTAGAGCAAATGTTGTAGTTTAAAAAAATACTGACCTGTCAGCAGCCACTGCAGACGACGTGGATTTCTTAACCTTTTTGCTCTGATTTAAGCCTTTGGAAACCTTCGTCATGGCAGAGCTGTAAGTAACCAAGTAGCAATTCACATCAATAGCTAGTATACTTTTTAAAAATGAATGTAATGAAACTGAAGTTGCTTTTCTTGTTAAACAATTCTATTCAAAAACATTTCTAAATAAACGGGACCGGAGAAGTAACAGGTTATAAACAAAGCAAACGGTATTATCAGAGCCTTCTATAACGTACACTTCGTCTCCTCTTACTCTTCACTCTTCACAACACCAACACCAACGCTCCATGATCTAAAAGGCAACGATGGTCAAAGTTTTGTAGTTGACGATCTTTGTGTGTGTAAAATCAAAAACTTTGTGACCCCGATGTATTATCAAAGCTTATTTTCATATAGCGTAATCATCCTTTTAAGGTAAATTGCCCTTTTATCGGAAGTACTCAAATCTTTGATTTAAAAGCTCTGCATAGTAATTTCTACATGGAAGCACCCTAGGCTAGCTTTGTTTGGATTGAACTTCTCGGGCGCCGGGATTCGGCCGGTGTTTTGATGTAATGTGCCATTCGTTTTAAAATGCTTTTTGATAACTAAGCTATTTCATACTCGCCACTCAACGTGGTGTAATTGTTAAATCCATTAAATGACACTCGTTTATTTTATGAGGATTATAACCTTCGTCTGTTTGTCATGTTTGTTTCAGTAGTTTTGCCTTGATTGTTCAAATTTAAGTAAACAATCTTTCGTCCTGAAGGATACGAGTTAAATTGTCATATATGCTTACTTTATTTCAGTCAAATTTGAATTTGCGTAAATTTTTCTGTGCCTTATGTGTGTTTGTAATTTGGAACTCAGTGCAATTTTACTTCATCTTCTATCAAATTATTTGGGTCAGGCTGTTTTGATCTAATTCAATATTTTGTTTGAAACTTAGGTGAGGGCTCCGGCTGCTCTTCAACACTTCATTCCAATCCCATTTCTGCTGTTGGAACAATTATGGATGTGGATCTGGATATGGAAGTGGACGATAAACCACCTGTGAAAACTGAAGAAGCCCAAACTAACGATCAAGAATCCTCAGAAGAGGCTCAGGGAGAAAACATAAATTTAACTTTCAATGAAGAGATGCCTGATGAGAAAACTGAAGAAATGCCCGAGTATGACACCCGAAGTGAAGTTTCATCATCGTCATCTGACTCTGATTCAAGTCAGCCCAGTATAAGTTCAGTTAGTACCAACTCTTCCAGTGGCAGAAAAGGTAGAAGTTCAAGACATAAACGGTCCTCTCATACATCTGAAAAGAAGAGTCCCACACCAGAAAAACGGCCTAAATCAAGAGAAAAAGGAAAGTCTTATGATTATGCTACTAAATTAAACTATCTGTTTCGTGATGCTCGATTCTTTGTGATCAAGAGTAATAACGCAGAAAACGTTACTTTATCTAAAGCTAAAGGAGTTTGGTCGACACTGCCTCAAAATGAGACAAAACTCAATCAAGCTTTTAAAGAATCCAGAAATGTTCTATTAATCTTCTCAGTCAAGGAGAGTGGAAGATTTGCAGGTTTTGCCAGACTCAATGGAGAGTCCCGGCATGATGTTGCTCCAATCTCATGGGTGCTACCACCTGGCTTATCAGCCAAGGCTTTGGGTGGTGTTTTTAAAGTAGATTGGGTGTGTAGGAAAGAACTTCCATTTACTGCTACAATGCATCTGTATAATCCTTGGAATGAGGGTAAACCTGTAAAAATAGGACGGGATGGTCAAGAAATAGAACCTAGAGTAGCAGAAGAGCTTTGTAGACTTTTCCCTGAAGATGAGGGAATTGAAATGACTCCAATATTAAGGAAGTCTAAGGAAGCAGCTAAACTAGTACGCCCAAGAAGTTCTAGTTACAGAAGAGAGGGATACAACAACAGAAGTAACCGCTTCAGTTCTTCACGGTCTTCATCATTTGGCTTCCGTGGTCGTGGTGCTTCCTTTAATCGAGGCCGAAAGACATTTGGTGTATCTCGTAATCGCCTTAGTCATAGTGGAGCTGTATATAAATCATCATCATCCCGACATCGGGAGAGGCTTCCACCTATGTGGTTTGGATCATCTCGTGATGGAAGCCGCCCGTTTGGTGCTGCAGCAGCTGCAGAGGCTTACGTAGCTGATTACATGCGTAGTCTACAGCATCAGCTTCCCCCAATGCCATATGCACCTCCTCCAGGGGTCTTTGCTGGGTCTCCGAATCCCTATGATTCAATCCCTCCACCAAGATACTATGATGGACTTCCTTTGCCAGAATATCCACCATTACCCCCAAGAAGTAATGGGTACTCAGATAAGAGGTCATATGATCGTTCAGTTGATGAGTTTTTATGGCGCACAAGAGAGAGGCGGGACCGTGACAGGGACCGAGACCATCATAGGTACCGTGAACGGCGATAGAGCTAGCGACTTAAATATTGTATATGATCTATTATTCCAGTTGCTAACATGTCCAGTGCTGTGTATTTTCTCTTGATAGATCTATGAATAATTCTGTGTTAGTTGAATTTTAAGAATTTTAACCACACTGTATAGTGCGGTACAGTATCTATTCTGTCAAAAGGTGTTGTATATAATTTTGTAAGTAGAAAGTAATTATGTAAAGGTGAAAATGAGAAGAATGAATCTGGGAGAATCCTCCCATTCCTAGTTGCGTATGAAAATTGAAAAAGGTGAATAAAAAGTGTGGGGAAATTGAACTGTGCTTTTCTGTAATATAAACTAAATGGTATCTTGTGGTGATATGAAAACGAATGTAACATATTGAACTTCATTCAATGTAATATTCCCACCCAAGACTATTACTGTGATATGAACAAGTGTGTAGTGTGGAGCTTTGCTGACAAAGTGGTTCTAATGGCAGAGGTACTGTCACACTGTATGTGTTCTGGACTTGTACTTCTCTTAGGCTGTGATACACTCCCCAGTCACAAAGTGGTGACAGCTTCAATGAAGTCATGAGTTCCAAGGCAAAATTTGCTAGTTGTGCTACATGGTCAGCTAATGGTTTATATGACATCACAATGTGCAGTTTAGCTCATCAAAAGTGTGGTGAAGCATTGTAGTGTATTGAATTTTCTGCTAATAGTGTTCAAGTCTATCTTTTACTTCTTTTAGTAGCTGAAAGTGTTAAAGATATTTTTACCTACAAGTTGTTTTATCACTTCAAAGGCTTGGACCCTAAAGGGATTAAAGTTTCCTTTGAAGTGTGTATCCTTTGAAACTTTCATCATCAAACAATAAATCTTCCCTTAGGGTTTATTTGATTACATATCAAATTTGGTCTTGCTAGGTGAATGCATGATTCCATTTTAGTTCAGCCACTTCATCAATTAAAATAGTTTTAGTGTTGTAATCTTAGAGGATAGTTGTGGATTCAATTTGGCAGTCAGCACAAATTAAAGAGCTTTATTCTCAGAGGCAAATGTGCAGAAATTGATCTCATCAGTTAAGTGATAGAATGCAGTAAGGGATAATTTCCATCAAGATCCAGAGAAGAGCCTGATAAATGTGTTGCCCATATATATTGAGAGAGGATTGTTTTTAAAGGAAAAGATATTGTCTAATTTTCAGTTATTTTTATTTTCATGCTTATCAGATTATTCCCAGTTGTGTGCCATTTCCAATTTCAACGCTACAAACTGTTGGTTTTTCGTTGCCTTTCATAGAGTAACCTTTCTCAGGTGGGAAATCACTTTTATAACTATAAATATATGGACTTGCATGGTCTGCAGTGGAACTAATGTTGTTGTTGAAAAATAGGTAATGCATTGGCATCACTTAACTCTGATGTCTTATTTTTTGTAATAAAATGAATACACCTACATGCATATTAATACTTACAATCCATACTCATGGTATTCTTAAAAATAAACTAATTATGAAATTTTAAAGTACACTATCACAGCTTCAGGAGTTTCAACAGTAGAAGCAAATCATTTAGATAAATATAAAAGAAGGCTCTCAACAAAGGGGAGACATATAAAACTGACATTAAGCTTACAAAAAAAGGTGGTTCGGACTGCTTGCTCATTTTCTTTTGCGTATTAGTTCCAGATTTACCAAATGCCTCATTGTGGGACGTCCATGTGGGCAGTTCTGAAATTTGAAACACTTCAGCTATTAATTCCTCTAAAAAAATCATAAGCAAAAATGATTTAAAAGAAATATCAACATACCCATGGCTGCTCAATCTCTCCCATATGGTCAACAAGTTGCCGCATAGTTGATTTGCTTAAGGCTGTACCTATCATGACAGATTTTCTGCATGCTCTAGAGGCAAACATTGCCCGCACTCGTGATGGACGACACATTGTATGAGGAGAATCCTGTAAATATAGAAACATACTGAAAGAGCGAGAAATAGATCAACTGGGTTCAAAATATCATGTATTCGGTTTACCTGCAGCATGAAGAGCAGTTCATCAATATCTTCTTTGCCAAACTCCCAATTGTGACTTATGGGTTTGGCTGCTAACCGAACTCGTTTTGTGGGATCCGCTGTAAAGAAAAATAGAAATGCAGATACAATTTAAGTAGAAAAGACATTTGTAGCAAACTAGAGAAGTTCAAGTTCCCACCTTCTTTGTCTATCTGAAAAGTGAAGCCATTTCTAGTGAATATATCTAGATTGTCCATCAAAATACATTCATTAACAGCTGTTAGATCAAGAGTCTGAGGACTAAAGGAATTTCATTTAGTTAACAATAAGCCAATCCAGCCAATCACAACAAAAAATTAAGCAGAAGATTTACCAGCTTACATGACAAGTTTTTGATTTTTCAGGGTTGTATGAGCTTGTAGAGTCTCAAAATTATATTTCTCATCAGTAGCATGTTGGTCTACTATAAATAAATCATGGCCTAGTTTGGTAATTATAAAGCCAAGATTAAACTGACCAATTATGTCCATCTAGGAACAGATATTGTTATAAAAACATGTATTGAACAAAGAACCCACAAACGATCATTAAGAGAACACAAACCTTCGAGAACATGTCTTTTGATATTTCTTTGTTTAGTTCTTGCTCAGCACTTTTATTTTTAGTGGGATCAATTTCTGCATAAAAACGAACACGAGGTTTCCCATTGAGAGAGGTCTCAACTCCCTTCTCATTGTTAACTTTAAATTTATGGAAAAGATTTTTCAGCTTGCTCATATTCATATTTATAGTAATTGTCCTTCGACCTGAAGGCTTTTTAACATTACTATCATTTAATATTGGTAATAATGTTTCAGTGATCCTGTTGACTTTATCTGAGCTAGTATATTCAGAGACACTAGCTTTATTCAAATCAGAAACTGGTGAATTTTCCATTTTATCACAAAGCTCATCTAATTTTATTGTAGAATTGTTGTCAGTCAATTGTAATCCACTATCTTCAGTTGAATAATGGGTTGTTACAACACTGCTGTTTAAGTTGTCATCTTCCACTAGGCCATCATCTAAAGTTTCCTCCGTTGGTTTAATACTATCATTCTTACTTTCAATTTCAAAAGAATCAGTCTGACCACTGGAGGTAACTACGGCACAATGGTCGGGTGAGGTTCTCATGACAGAAGATTTTGATTCATAGGATACAAAACCAGTTAAACACAGCTCTGAAAATTGAATAAATCATGTTTGTCAGAACTATTAGTGCAACAAACACACACAAGGAGAAAACACTAGGATTAAGTTCAACTTACGTTTCTTCCCACTGCCATCGTTGTTTTCATAGCAATTGGGTCTCTTTAATCCTCGCCTAGCAGAGGATTTTTCTCCTTTGGGTGACGCAAGATCTTGGTCTGCTTCAGACCTACTGTTTGAATGGCTGAAACTTTTTAGTAATGAGGAGAAATTACTTATCTTGCAACTTGATTTATTGTTTGGAGATGGTGTTGCAGAATTTGATGGCCCATTATCACTAGGAGGGCACTTTGATGGACCAATAGCTGCATTTTGAACTTGATATGTATGTGGAATTTTTTCAAATAATTTTAAAAGTGAAGCCTGTGGTTAGATAAGAAGTCATGAACTGGCAGATAATGTTTGACCCTTTCTGTAAGATCTATCAATAAGGCACAGGCATTTACCTTCACAGTTGCTACTAGAAGCTTTTCATTGTCAAGAAAAATCTGTCTCTTGTCTGGGGTTACATTTACATCAACACTTTCACGTGCAGTTTTAATATTCAAGAACACAAATGGAAACTGATGTATATTAAAATGGTGGTATACTTCATTAACTACTTTAGAAACCTGGAAAAAACAACAGATCAATCATATAACACTACACAAAGAAACTTAAGCAAAATAACTACAAATAACTGATAATATGACATGTGCAAATACCTTGGTTGGGTCACAAGGTCTGTTATTTATGTAATAAAATTGACGATCTGTTGAGCTACGACCCTGCCCATGAGCACAAGAAGATATGCAACCTTCTAATTCAAACCCACCCAATTCTTTAATATCATTTGAAAGACCAATTTCTTCTAGATTGGATGCTGAGGGGATCTCTACTTCAATATCCAAAAGACTGTTTGCCTTCAATAATCAAGAACATTAAGAAAAGTTTCTTTGACAAGTATTTTAATTACAAAGGAGAAAAAAGAGTGTGTTTAGATGATACCTGTTTGGCTCCAAATATGCACATTATATTTCCTTTAAAAGCATTACTCCCCTGAGTAGAAACTACAACAGATTTACCTCCTTTCTTTGTTTGGTTTGAGCATAAAATCCTGAGGGATGTTATTGTTTATTA